GATGCGCTAGATTCATCTATATCAATTTCAGCATTGCTAGCCTTGATCTGGGCTTGCTGTATATTGCTGATGTTAGTGAACTTAGTGTTAAGGTTGATTTTGATAGTCTTCTTTTTTTTATTGTAGTGTTGTTTGATTTAGGCCTGGAGAAGTTGTATTTAGTGGTAGGTAGTAGCTAGCTAGAAGGATTGCTTTTGGAAGCCTTTTTTTGACCTTTCTGAAGAGCTGGCGTTGTGTGGTAATACTTTTGATTTTAGCTTGCCTGAATAAGTCTAGTTGACTATTAAGGTCCTTTATTTTCCTAGCGTAGACTATGTAATAGCAGATGAAGCAGATGCTTATCCCTCTATATCCTGGGCATCTTAGATACTTTGGGTACCTTTGGGTAGCCTTATTAAGTAGTGTTATTAGTGTTATTGTGCTTAGGCAGTAATAAAGAGCTTATAAGAGGTTTATTTATAGTAATAGGCTATAGTCTAGTATATTTCTAGTTATTTAGAATATTCTTTTTTATTAGTTTAGTTAAGTGTGTTAGCTAATAATAAAATAAAAAAGTATCTTCTTATTTATTTATAGTTAAATTATTTTATTAGCTAAGGTTAAGCTAGAGCCTTTTGTGATAAGTTGTTTTAATTAGGCTAAAGATTAACTAATTAGTGGTTAAAGGATATAGGAGGTATATAGCAGCAAAGAATAATAGATAGACGTTATTAATATAGTATTAACTATATGAATTTTGTTGTTATATAGCTTTTATACTTATCTAGGACTAGTAGTCTAGTTTGATTAGGCTAGGAAAGGCAGTTTGTAGCAAGAAGACCTTTAATAGTTACTTAATAATAGTCTTATTAGTTATTTATTTATTCTCTGTTATTATAAACTCTTATTATTATATAGGCTAAGATCTAGAAGAAACTATTACTACTAGACTATTTTGCCCTTATATATTACAAGAGGATATAGTGTTAGGCCTTTAGCTGAGATACACTTAATAATAGATACCTAGGCTTATGATCCAGGCTGCTTTTTCTGTATAGACTTAGTTTTTGTTTTACTTAGTACTAGCCTATTTATGCCTTGGCCTTAAGGATACTAGTCTTATTTATGTTATATCTGTTGGTTAGCTAGATGGCTGATATTGATAGGATCGTAAGATATTTAAACTAGTCCCTGATAATCTTAGTAGATGCCTTATTAACACGTCTAGAATCAATAGATCGACTTCTCTGGACCTTGATAGATAGGTTTCTTTGTACAAAGGCGTCTATCTATCTCTTCCCTAGAGGCTGGGTATTGCCTATGGCATGGAGATACGCTGGGCAAAAAACCTTGACTTGTTGATGCGTTGGCGCAAGCCCAAGGTCAGCCTGTATCTGTACCCAATTAGCCAGCTTAGCCTCCTGACTAACAGAGAGCCGCTGGAGGCAGTAAAATGCGATATCTCTAGGTTGGATACCTTGAGGCGATTCTGAAGTGTTGACCGAGGGACGCCCTATTTCCTAGATGCTGCCTGGACAGGGACGCCGTTGGCGATATCCCCAAGAGCCTTGCTAACCTCATACTCGGTATATTGACCCATAGGGTATAGAAGAAGGTATCTGCAAAAGATGAAGTGATTTGGATAAGGGATGAAAATGTTGTGATAGTTTGAAGTGGGAGGCTGGTCATGGTGTTGAGGGATTTTTGGGGTGCCCACATGGGTGGGGTGCCCAGAAGTGGGTGACTTGACTTACCATTCTCTCTGTCCCCAACCCAACGGCCCAACGAGAACTGTTGGTAACAGGTAACGAATGGAAGCAGAACCTGACCGTTTCCGATCGGAAACAGGCAACCACCAATATCTACTCGGTAACAGACAGACCCGTCGGACGCTTTGAGGTACATATTGACCCAATGGAGGAGCTCTCCAAGTTTGCCGTTGAAACCCACAGCAATTCCAACCTCACCACGAAACTGTACGGGTCCCAATGCCATTGTCGTCTAAGGGTCAGAATGAATAAGAAAAATGACGTGTATTATATGTCACCAAAACCAGCCAATAATCACGAAAACAATAGCCTAGGAAGTCCCCTATCATCGCATCTGACATCTAGGCTCAGATTCTAGCCACAAGGCGCTGTGCTGAAAGCTTTTCGCAGGGAAATGGAAGCGATCCCAATCCAGCACATCTATCAAATCGTTGTTTTAATGATAGATTAAACCATTTCTTCAGAGTAGATCGCATCACACCACATCGAGGTGGCTGATAGCAACGCTAAATAAAATCGGAAAAGATCATAAAACTGAATGGTAAGTCCACTTGACGATTTAGTTTAAGTTCATGGGACTAAAGCTTGTCTTGATGGACAAAATAGCTTAACAACCATGCCATTCGCGTTCTTTCTCTACTGATACTAACTGACGCAAAAAGAGATGGTGTTTGGGCTATAGAAAAGCAGTCGAGTTATCGCAAATTTTGCATTCTTACGGCTTTTCCTTGGGATGGTTGGTAATCACGATGGCAGTTGGACATGCGAGTTGTGCCTAGAGTCTTGGCTACTTGCTTCCGCCCTCTTCGCTGCTTCCGTGATCTGATGGAACTACTGGGCCATGAACCCATCAGATCGGTATGCAGTAGCCTTGGACTGTTTTCTACTAAAACATCAATCACCGTCAGGGACGAGGTTATTGGATTCTCTTGTGAGAGGTCTGGTGTTAACAAAGGAGCGCGGATTGAGAACCTTAGCACTCTTGCTCGAGAATCTAATCCTTGACACCGTACCCTTTTTGGTTATCATTGTAGATCTTTCTTGGACGCGTCCCATTTGTTTGCAAGTCGCACCGGTGCCACAAGCTAGTCAGTTAGACCGAATGAATGCCCCTCTTCTACACATCTGTCAAACCTTCGGCTCATGACATTGCCAAGAGGCTGTTGCTATGCTGAACACTGAATTACTGGCTTTTCTTTACAATAACTCATCTCATGAGCCTCGATCGAGCTTCACGTTACGAACACGCTGCTACACATTGCTTCGGGACAAATGACCAACAGAGGGGCCATGATTGGCCCAGTCCGGGTGGACTCGGGAATGCTTACGTAAAAGATATCGCAGTGTCGCCGCTAACCGTTTCTGGACTAGTGCATCTAGCTCCAAGATCCGCCAGAGGGCAGATCTGCTTTTACAGGCTTTGACAGAAAGCCATCTCGTTTTCCAGATCTTTCTGGATTTGAGGGGGAAGCCGGGTTCAAGTGAGCGCGACGGTAAAGGCTCTTTTCAGAGAAGCACGTTTCTCACGCGTTCGCGCCGCCGTTGCTCAGTTCTTGCAACCTTCCACTTGAATCCAACACAAGGACAAGAGGAACTGTCATGCATGCGTCGGCAAAATAGTCTCCGAGCGCATTCGGTTCCCGGCAAACAACAAGCCCTACGACGAAACGATACTCGCATCTGAAAAGGCTCATTGCACCACAACGCGCAACATAAGGTTCGATTGAACCTTCGTATCTGCCGTCTCCCGTACCTATTTCCGGTGACGTGGGCAAGGTACAAGGTTTGCCGTCTCTTCCGGCATCAACAAACCCAACCAAGCGCCGAACAAACATCAAGGGCCAATTCATCAGACGCAGCCAAGGAGCCTCACAGGCGTGGGCCGCGCTCCCCACCGACGCGTCACTAACAATCTGCACCAGTCGGCCTAGGGCCTGGGCGTGGCCCAGGGCATGACGCTGTCTTTGTCACAGCTGAAATGCAGAGATTTTTGCATACAAGCCACGGACCACAGCTCATAACCACGACTCGGCGCGCGGTCACCCGAGAGAGTCCATCACGGAGGAATCGAGGACCATGCCAGAGGGAGGGAGTCAAAACTGGCTTATCGGCGCTGGGTTTGTCGGCTATCGTGGTGCATCCCCCTCGGAATAGAGCGGGAGCGCTGAGCCCCATGGGGTAAGTGGGAGGGCCTATCACTGGTGCCCCCTCGTGCGATGCGACCATGGGAGGAACCGGGTATTGGAGGAAGCCGTGACGTTTACGCGTGGACGAGAATGCGGGTTGGCGCGGGGGGGATATATGCATTGCCGGCGATACAGCGAAGCAGTTTTATCCTCGGGTGCTCATCATGGTCCTGGTGGTTGCCAGTGATACTGCACTGGGCGTCAGCCAAGCAAGTAGTGACCGAGTGGTGATGAGCTGACAGCGACGCTGGGTACTGTACCTCGAGGTATGCTGATATCACTCCTAGGGTGCAAAAGCGTACTGCATTTTCCGGAGTGATACCATCAACATCGACAAGTGCAACAAAGGATAGGGCCAAAGTCTCGTCGACCGGGTAGCATCCCCAATCGTCAAACACCAGGAGTCTCCTACCGGCCCTGGCAGACACAAGTGATCCCAAGCCGGATGACTCCCCAGGCGCGCCAAGTGCAAGCCGAGCCCCCCCCATGGCCCGTCCCAAGCCAGTTCCAAGGCTCAAGATCCATCGGGCTCCCAAGGGGGCTCTCACGGCTGGGATAACACTGGCCAATAGCCCGTTAGTGGCCAGAATCTGCTGACGCTTGCTTCAGACTGATTGTCCCCCTGGAGGACTTGGAAGGCTGTGTTCCGCATTTGGCCGAAGCATCGTTCCCGCCCCCGCCCCTAAAAATTCTAGATCCCGAAGACGGCCACGCCCTGCTGGGCCCGAGATCGATAGTGGTGTGTGTCTCCCTGCCGCTGCTGCTGCGCGCTCGATTGTCACTGCCCGTATCTATTTAGGTACAAGAGTACCTTGACATCATCATCGCTTGTGATTTTTTCCACGCCCCCTTTCAACGACTCTTGACTCAGCTCGTGTGATCCATCTCCGTTTTCATAGCATCCTCTTACGATACCAATCAAACAACACGTTCAAAATCACAGTTTACAGCGTTCCACCACGAAGAGCCATTGTACTTGAGGCCCTGAATTGAGTGGGACTTGGACGGAAACGAGGCCATCATTGAAAAGGAAAAAAGAGACGTCAACCACCTTACCGCCGCCACGATGAACTGTCCCTCGCGCAACGACGACATCACGCTGGAGCATCCCGACTGGAACCAGAAACCGCCCTTTCTCGCCGCCGACCTCACCACCTGCGAGGACCTGAACGGCATCGCCAACGCCCGCGAGCAACGCCGCGCCCGGAGCGGTGCCGGGGATGGGTCCGACGGCCGGGGTGACGAGATGAATTACCAGACGTTACCGCGTTTACAACCCGATCGAGGCGCCCCGTTTCGGGAGGGTGGAACTATGGTAAGTCCCTTTTGTTTTCCGAGAATGATTCCAAAATGCTACTAAGCTACGATGCCACAATATGTGTTCGTCACCGCTCAATGGCTGCACCAACGGAATGGGAAAACAGGTGGCCAGCTGCTGTTGAGCACCTCACCGCCCTCGGTATTCATGTGCAAGCGCCAACACCGACGACGTCTAAACACCACCTCACAAACACGAAATGCACATGGGACGCTGACCAACATCATCTTAGGTTTCCACCCCCGAAACAAAAAGGTGCATGGTGGTGACGACCATACACCTCCCCTCTGGGCCTCCGCGCCACCCGCTCCGCCTCTGGGGCTGGGTGAGTTGGATCATGTCCGTCCTTGGCTGTTCGGCCATCATCTCTGCTCTCAAGAGCCCCGAGGCTGTTGCTTCGTTCCTCGTTGCATCCAAGCAAACCGCCCAATGTGAGTTTACTCTCTGAATCCTTGCTTAGCCTTCAGTCATGATATCGCACGCAAACGCACAAAACTAATTTCACCCTTCGTCCCACAAAACTCTCACATGAACATAAGCTGACGGCACAGCCATCGCCAAACACTCCGCCCGCTCCGTCCGCCGCTCGACCTGCCCGACTGGCGGCCTCGGCAACGAGGACGCCTACAACACGCCCTTCCACGTCGGCGCCCTCTTCATCATCCTCGGCGTCTCCTTCCTCGCCTGCGCCTTCCCCTCATCGCCTCCGTCACCCCAGGCGTCCGCATCCCTCGCCCCTTTTTCTTCGCCGTACGCCACTTCGGCACCGGCGTCCTTCTCGCTACGGCCTTTGTCCACCTCCTCCCACGGCCTTCACCCTCCTCGGCAACCCGTGCCTCAGCTCCTTCTGGTCGAGGACTACCCCGCCATGCCGGGCGCCATCGCCCTGGCCGGAATCTTCCTGGTCACCATCATCGAAATGGTCTTCCAACCCGCCGCCACATGTCCCACGCCCCCGACGACTCCGTCCTCTCGCCGCAGCGTTCGGGATCCGTCGACAACGACGACAACCGTGATCCCGGGCCCTACCCTCTCGAGATGGCCCCGAGCCGCGGCGCCGCCGGCAGCATGGGCCGCACCCTCTCCCGCATCGGACGGGACGAGCAGCAGGCCGGTGACAGGCTTGCCAAGCGCGTTGACGAGGAGAGCCGCGCCGTGCAGCTCCACGCCAACGGCGTCGTGACCCTCTCCCCCGCGCAGCAACACCAAAAGGACATTCTGCAGTGCATGATGCTCGAGGTCGGAATCCTGTTCCACTCCGTCTTCATCGGCATGACGCTCAGCGTCTCCGTCGGCCACGAGTTCGTCATCCTCCTCATCGCCATCGCCTTCCACCAGACCTTTGAGGGGCTCGCCCTCGGCTCCCGCATCGCCTCCATCGACTGGCCCAAGGGTAGCCTGCAGCCGTGGATGATGGCCCTCGCGTACGGGTGCACCACGCCCATCGGCCAGGCCATCGGGCTCGCGACCCATAGGCTGTACAGCCCGAACTCGGAGTTCGGCCTGATCCTGGTCGGCACGATGAACGCCCTTTCGTCCGGCCTGCTTGTCTTTGCCGCGCTGATTGAGCTGCTCGCCGAGGACTCCTGTCCGACGAGAGCTGGCGCATCCTTCGGGGCTCCAAGCGCGTCTGGGCTGCCTGCTCGTCTTCTTTGGCGCGTTCGCATGAGTCTCGTCGGTGCATGGGCTTAAGTCTGCATGCCAGCTTATACCGGGGACGGGGTAAATGATCCATCGCGTCGAGAGATCTCTGGAGACCTAGACTATTAGTGGTTCCTCGTTCCGTATATTGGATGTTGTCGGCCATCCTGCGGTCTTACTGCGCCTGAAAAGACGCGGTGAGGCGTCCATTCGGAAACCATGACGAGATCATGAAGAGGGAATGGCGCGAGCTGTCTCTTCACGATCCCGTCAACATTGCCGTTCTTTGACAGAGGTGTGCAGTCAGCTGCTGACCTTGGTTTCTATTTAAAGTTGAGATTGCCGATGGCTGTTTGATGGATTTATGTTCATTGAGCCACGGCTTGAAAAAGCCGATGGCCCAGGTACCTTGATTGATATTTGTTTCCGCCCATCCATGGTGTCCGCTCGTTTAAAGTTCCAAAGGCCACAATTAGATCTCGCAGAAAAGATTAGAGGAAGGCATTAAATAAGAATACTGTTGGAATAACAGCACCAGCTGGTTGTACGACACGCACGACTCAGGGACACACATCATGGCAGAGGGCACAGACTGGATATTCGGCTCTCGGTTATCCATTGAGGGGATCAAAAGTATATTCATGCCGAACTGACTCAGGGACGTACGAGATCATATATCTTGTGTACGAAAGCCAAGTCTTGTAGTTAGGAAGATAATCACGGAAAATACATCTTTGGTTCACCCTAACTTTAACCCGAGTACGATCGTACAAACGGGTTCTCTCAGGAAGAGAGAATCCATTCAACACTGATCAGTGGTTGCTTGGCAATCCGTGCGATTGCTTTGTGCAATCACAGATTAGCAAGAGTGAAGAGACAAGACTTAGGCTTTACGGCCGGGCTACCGGGTAGTCTTGCACTTCGTGCGAGGCGAGAAATCCTCAGGGATACCTAAGGGGTCACGCTAGAAAGTCTCTTGTGCTAAGAAGCCTTAATCCTACCTATTGTCGCCTGCTAAGCTGAACCGGGTAGATAGGATAAAGACGACTTTTGCTTTACTATCGTACAAGACAGATTCCCGTTGTCGCCTGCTAAGCTGAACCGGACGAGAATCTTTATTGTACTGTACGTAGAGTACAAAGTGTGCGCCACGGCACCAAACAAACCAATTTTGACGTCGTACGATACGAAACGACTACCGAACACAACATGGCTTCCCAAGAGGATCCAGAAGACAATCGTCAAAGCCAATATGACAATATTGATGGATACCTGCCAACGTACGAAGAAATAAGTGCAAGGAGCGAAGTCCCACTGCACACGTGGAAGAAGACTGTGAATCCTAGACGCTGGGGAAATCCAGTCGATATTACACAGGCACCGTCCGAAGAAGAGATGACTACGTACATTGCGTACATCAACATGGAAATGCTTCATCTTAGGCAATCAAAGGAAAACCTGACAATATCACTGTACGAAGATTTTAACGAATGGTCTACCTTCCAATGGGAAAAGGTCTATCGTGCGTTCAGGGCAGAGTTCATACGACTTATTGAGCTAAAGGGATTCCGATTACCGCCAATAAGAAATGTGAATCAACAGCTAGTTGAATTCATCAAGGAGATTGGGAGGAAGTTTGATGAGCAAGAAGAACAGCTTTCTACTCGTACAGCACTTACACCAAGTCGTACGATTACAACAACTCAAACACCTGTTCGAAACCCTGAATCAACTTTACCCCAAAACACAGCTGAACCGACAACAGAGCCAATCGAACCCCCGTACGATACACAGACAACTCAAACATCAATCGTACGAGAGCAGTCACAATCAGCTTCAGGAAACATGCCTCCTGGAACAAGATTCACACAGGAGGTTGAGAGTTTTCCACAAATCCAGGGTCGTACAACACCTTTACATCAAGGAGACAGCATCTATGACCTACCACCAAGACGAATAGTCCAGAATGGATTGTGCGAGCCAACTACAATCTCAATCTTCCAGAAGGGATGGAGAAAGGACAGGAATTATACGGGCAAGCCGTACGATATCCTGTACGACAAGGCAAAGGTCTTTATCAGTTTTTGTCGACGCCTCAGGATCACTGAAGATCAATACCATGCAGTATTTCCTGATATCTTGGCTGATCGTGCGGAAGAGTTTTATCTCCATCACATTGGACCAACAAGGAGATGGGACGAGATGTACAACATGTTAGAAATGCACTTTAACACTAACATCAACCACACTCTCTATTGGACAGATTGGACAAGTCTATCCTTCGCACGAGTCAGACAAGACAATCCAGACAAGAATCTGATGGACGTATTAGAGATACTCTTAGACAAGATACCCCTCGTACAGCGGGCACTTGGCCCAGGTTTTCAGGGGGAGATTATGCTTCGTACGCAAGTCACCCAAGCGTGCAGAGGTGTACTAGAGCTAGAAACTGCTCTAAGCAATCTTAAAGCACATCACACATGCGAGCAATTCTTTTCTAGCCTAAGAGCATCACTACAGGTCGCTTTAGACAGGAAGTCTATGTCGCACGACATCAACTTTGTGGATAGAAGATACTCTAACAACAAGAGTTACCCACGACCATCGTACAATAGACCGTCAGACAACAGAGGATCTTCTCGACAACCTTGGAAAGGTCAACCTTCATCACGACCTAGGTTTAATCGTGCAATATCTAAGAAAAGATGTTTTGTGTGCAAGAAGGAGGGTTGTTGGTCTACGAATCATTCGGACGAAGAACGTAATCGTGCGAAAGACCAATACCTTCAGGCATGCGGTATACTTGAACAAGAACCACAGAGAGATTTTGCCTCGTACCTTCTTGACTTTGAAGGAGAAAACCCAGTGGACGAATCGTGCGATGAGGAGGGAGAATTTACAGGAGATGAAGAGACATCAGCTTTCCTAATGTCTTCTTCATTCTTCCATCGCACGACAGGGGAGGATATCTTTTCATTACCAAAGACGTCAGAGGCCTGTCAATTCTTGTTGCACGATCCTTATATCTCATCGTACCAAGGGGAACTATGGGATACAGGAGCAGCGAAGTTCTCTACCGTAGGGAAACCTCAAGTCCTTGCATACCTACGGGAGAACCCTCGTACGGCAATATCCTGGGGACCAGGATCAGCAAACGTACGATTCGGGGCAAGTGACTCAATCACATCGGTTGGCACTATGGAAATGGAGAATCAGCTTGGAAAGGTTACGTATCACATCCTTGATGCTCCTACTCCGTTCCTGTTTTCATTGTACGATGCAGACAGGTTAGGTGCATATTTCAACAACGTCGACAACGTGATTGTACGGCAGGATGGAAAACCTATCCCAGTCGTACGGAAATGGGGTCACCCATTCTTCAACCTTAGTCGCACAGAGGCCAGCATGTTCTTCACAGAAGGACAACTCCGAAGGCTTCACAGACGATTTGGACATCCTCGTACGGACCGTCTTTACCACCTCCTGAAGAAGGCTGGGCATCACAACATTGACATCAACATTCTAGAAAAGGTCCAGAAGTTTTGCCATCATTGTCAATCGCACGACTCAGCACCGAAGAGGTTTAAGTTCACACTTAAAGACGAAAGCTACTTCAACTATGAGATAGTTGTGGATGTCGTACGACTAAGAGACAAGAACGCCTTACACGTCATCGACACAGAGACAAGCTTCCAAGGAGCCACCTTCCTGAAGTCCTTATCTGCACGAGATACGTGGAATGCACTTTGCAAGTGCTGGATCAGCACGTACGTTGGTCCACCAGACTATATCGTACATGACCCAGGTACAAACTTCGCATCATCAGAATTCAGGAACTATGCCGACATCATGGGCATATCGTGCGAAGAAATGCCAGTAGAAGCCCACTGGGCAGTAGGCAAGATAGAAAGAGCTCACGCTCCTCTGAGGCGTGCGTACGATATCTTGTATGCTGAGCTTAGGCACAACACGGACGAGGAAACCATCCTCCAGATGGCTGTGAAGGCATTGAACGACACAGCTGGTCCGCACGGCATCGTACCTACACTACTTGTCTTTGGTACATATCCAAGGATTAACAAGGACTCACCTCCATCGCCCGAAATCACCCAAAGGGCAGAAGCAATCCAGAAGGCAATGAAAATGCTTCAGAGCATTCGTGCAGAAGTAGAGATCAATCGTGCGATCAACACCAGAAATGGCCCTAACCTCCAGAGCATACTATCACTACCAATCCAGAGTGAGGTTCTAGTATGGAGAGAAAACAAGGGATGGACTGGACCGTACGAAGTCCAGGCTATAGAAGGCCATACGGTGACAGTCAAGATGGTCAATGGTCCTACACAGTTTCGTGCAACACATGTCAAACCATACCATCAAGACACAGCACAGTCAGATTCAGATATCGCACGACCTATTCCTCAGAAACAGCCAAACAAGAGAGGAAGACCAAAGAAAGGCCAGAGAAGGGCTGTACGACAATCACCACGTACCAATCAAGCATTTCTATCTCAGAAAGAAAAAGACCACAAGGAGTTAGCAGAAAAGTTACGGCTTGACAATGTGATTACAACACCAGGTGCTCCATACGAAGAGTCAGACCAAACAGAGATAGACAACCTTATTAACCAGGGAGTCTTCACCTTTGTACCGTACAATCCAAAAGAGCATGACCACCTCCGTATCTACAAGACACGGATGGTACGAGAGATCAAGAACTTGTCATCTAAGCCGTACGAGAAGTCAAGACTTGTCGTACAAGGGTATGGGGACTGGGAGAAAGAAGAACTCTTAACCCAGGCACCTACTATCCAACGGATGAGCCAAAGGCTCATACTTGCGATTGGACCTACCCTCGTGCGAGACTACAAATGCAAAGGGGAACTCAGAGACATAACCCAGGCATATACACAATCGGACGATCGTCTAACCAGGACGATTATTGCACGACTACCCAAGGAGTTAGAAGACAAATACCCTAAGAACACACTTCTCCATATCTTGAAACCACTATACGGCCTAGCAGAGTCAGGCCTATACTGGTACAAAAC